TTCCTGCAGTCTGCTTGTGCTCTTGTTGCCATCCATCATCACTCATTCAGCTACTTCCCTATATTGTAGACTAGAACTTGAATCCATGGAAAAAGAGTCTTCTAAACCCATCTGCCTACTACATGGAGAAACCCTGAAGTTCAGTATATACAGCCTTGTAAAAAGGATTCTTTTTTATTGTGTTCATTTGCCTCCTTTAAATGAAACATGGCTCTACAGTAGGACTAGGACCTGCATCTTTGAATCTTTTACAGCAAATGTTGTCCAGCAGACCAAGTGGCTTCATCCACTTCTCAATTCCATCTCATCACCACCATGACATSTGCATAGATCCCAGGCTCTTTTTCTTTCATGTCTGTTTATAAACTTGTGAGAGAAGAGCAGCTATAAAAACACCAACTGATTCTCTGCTAATGTAAGATAATGTCCTCCCATTGAGGAGGAGCCTCCAAGATGATGGTTCCCTTGCTCTCTTTGCCTCCCGTTGAGAAGTCCAAGACRGCCCGAGGCAGGGCTGCAGGATTTGAGATCTGTCCCTCCTTCCATTTGGCAGTGTGTTGTTTATAGGCAGTCGTGCCAGGTGTCTTCTTTGCTTAGGGGAGAAACAAGTGCGTACATGTTGCTCCCTGCTCAAATTTTGTTCAAATTACACAACAAAACAGGGAGAAAAATAAGTAAAGTACTACTTTGAGGAACTGTAGGTACAAGCTGCTTCTGGCCTAGGCAGGCTCACTGGTAAGACTCTCTTTTGTAAGCAGTCTTATGCCAACAACATCTCCCATCCTTCAAGCTTGAGCTTTCGTAGATAGTAGGACACGGGTCAGAGGGACACCTCCTGCTGCTCTCCCTTCTCCTGCCAGGCAAGAATGAAGAGTGACACAGACCCCAGCATCAAAGGGTGTCATCAGAACTTACATCATTAGCACTTCAATATCTTTGCCAGTTAAGCGGGGATTTTTCTTACCTACTTGACTTTTCTGTTGATGGCATCAACTTTTCCAGCAGAGATCATCTCAGCAAGTTAGCTGTCAGTTAAGATGCATCTCTAGAAATCCTAGACTTGACAGCTAAAACTTAAGCTACTCACAGTTACTTTGAGATGAGCCTCTTGCTTTAAAAGTCCACTATTTTTCTGTAAGATCAGAAGAACTAAGGATAGGAGGAACTAAGATATAGGAGTGATATTTGAGCCTTTCAGGGCTGTGTGTCCCAGCATGTTCTTCTGTGGAGATATGAGCAGTTTGTCCCTTTTGCCTTCAGCCCTTTCCAACARTTGGTCCAGCAGAAGTGTCCAAGAGGATCAGAGTCAAATCTTCACCTTCCATGAACCAAACAGCTCAATGGGAGGCAGGGAAAGCAGCAAGTCCTCTGGTTGAGACTATGGTGCTCCTTTCYGGTTGCCTGGTAATTCTGATGACATTTGCACAATTTTCATGGCCCTGGTTGAGACACACAGACCAAGTGAGGCAGTTTTTCATTCAGTTCTGCTGCTCTCTAATTCAGGTACTGCCTAAGTGCCCCCTTGGCTTTTCTATTCCAAAGCAAACTGTTACATTRATGAACAGTTTTGCTCTTCATTTTCTCCTTCTCTAACTTGACTTCTCCTGTCCTTCAGTGTATCTCCCCTGCTACTCCTCAGCACTGCTGTCACACAGGCTGTTTGCTGCCACAGAATAGGTTGCCTCAGTCCATGTTCTTGCTCTTCTGCTCTGACCCTAAGAGTCATCTGACACAGGAAAGAAGTGGTCACTTATGCTATAGCAGTTGAGGCTCATCCAGACTCATTTTCCATAGAGCTTCCACAAGTGACCTTTTTATCCCTCATTCTGAAGGGCACTTTACTGGTGGCAAACTTGAATGGTTAGATTGGAGCTGCCCACGCTTGGTCTGCTCCATTACCACTATTAGCAGCGGCAGCTTCTGGCTTCCTAGGTCGCTCTGTTCATCATCTGTTTCCCCAAACCAGGCGATCAGTCCATGTTTCTGGTTTCCCATCCTCACAACCAACTTGCAGTTAGAACATCAACCCCTGGCCATTTATTGCTCTCTCTGTGCCAAACTAGGACTCGTGACTCTTGTCCCTTACACGATGCACAGGGAATCTTTTTTACTCCCTGTCATCCCGTATCCAAAATCCTGAGGTAGGAGCACGTGTTCAGGGCTGTCAGGATTACTGCAGTCACTGTTTCCGTGTGGGAGCAGGCAATGAAGTTGGAAGTTACCTCTTCTCCGAGCAGCAAGCTGATAGTAGCTCTTCTGCCACTGATCGTAGTCATCGTGAGGGTTCACAGGCACGGCCTGGTGCACATTATTGTCTTCAAAGAACTTGGTCTTGTTCACATGAGTATATGCTCACCAGGGAGCTGTGTGGACAGCCCTTCTTAAAGAATCACAGTTGCCACAGGGTAAGGAATCATCATTTTGTTTCCTTAAGGAAGTATCTAAAACCGAAGATGTGTCTCTAATGCCATTGATACCTCTAAGTCTATCATTATTATGACTAATGTTTCTAGGACTGTTACTCTGGTTTACAGACAGATTAATTCCAGGAGACGAAACTAGATTTACTCTTCTGCATAGAAGACACACTGGCACAAGCTGGCACTGGGCACTGTATTCCCGTGATAGCTGACTTATTTTGAAAGACCATAACCAKGAAACTGGTGTTTTCCTTTATCGTGACCAAGTGCTCTCGAAGAATATGAAATGCAAGCTAGGAGAAGGGTCATTGGTTCTGTTCATTTGATGTCTTAATTATCATTCTACCTTGCATATCAAGTCACATTTTAAAACATTTTCAAGCACAGCTATTTGTTCAGAGTCTCAGAGAGGACTTAAAGATTTTGAAAAGAGAGCATTCCGCCTGTCCTGTAAAAGCAGGAATAAATGATTTTGCTTAAGACTTTAGGKTTTTTTTGTTTTTCCTTGACTATTAGAAATGTTAGATGTTAAAAGATCTGGGACTGGCTAATGTAAAAATATCTAGGTAATTGGAGGGTTAGTAAAACTAGTGTCTTATGGATAATAGAAAAGCTGACTAATTTTGAAAATTGCAATCTCATAAATTATGAAGCAAAAAAGTAGGAGTCTATTTTGRTATGAGTTTCCAAGTGGATTTTTAGGCAGGTACTTGTGACAGCGCAAGTCAGTGCAGTGTGATACTTCTCTTTCACATGGAGAATAATCTGAATTTGAAAATTGTTCCCAACTTACCTGATTGGGAATGATTGAGAAGAAAACTTAGTAATACTACAGCTATAAGCAGATCTAAGAGGAATGGTACACCTTTGTCCAGCCTTCTGCTGCAGAGATTTTCTGGCATCAAAAGCTTCTGAGAAGGGTGGTTTGAAAATTATAATTGTAACAGACAACATGGGTATTCTGCCCAAAGGAGACAATCTTCTAACCAGTTTATGTCTGCAAGGCATAAGAATTTTTTAATCTTCTGTTTTTATTTATTTCTGTCAAAAATAGCAGATGTTTTCATTATTCATATAAGCTTCTCTTCTCTTTTMTGTATTTTGTTAAGCTCTTTGATTTAATAATGGTCCTGTAGGGATATATCCTTCCCCTCATCTGAATCCGCTGCAYTGCAATGTTGCATATTTCTTAGATGGTAAAAGTGAGCATCTGACCTTCCTCATTCATGTTAAGTGTTTGAAATACATCTGGTTRTTACTTTCCTTATTGATTGGTCGCAGTGGCTACAGTTTCTCCTGGTATGATAGTCTTTCCATGCCTGTGATCATCCATTTCTGAGTATATCTGTTTTTGCTCAAGATACTTCAGATGTTTAGTGAGAATTGAACATCATAAGCTTTTAAGAGATGGTGTTCTACAGGATTGATGGAACGTTGTAACATCTTAAATAGAATTCCTTTTTTTTAACAGGAAATGTTCTGTAAATATCAGTAGTGAAGAGACTGATTCTAGGAGGACTTCATTAAATTTACGTGGCTGTTTTAAATATTGACTATTTATTGTGGGCTACTTGTGTTCAAGCCTGCCGCTTCGCTCACGTACCTGCTGCCCAGCACAGGGTCAGCTGTGCGAAGCTGAGCTCATACCAAAATAAAGGCTTCTTTATAGGGATGGATGGGAAATGGGAAARTGCTGGGGACGCTACATTGAACGATCAACATCTCCTACCACATGCGAGGAGCCCAATAGACCACGTAGGGTATGGGCTCTCTTTAGGGTTTTGCCTTATGTACCTGGAAGTGTTGGATGGGATAAACTTCTCCTCTACAGTGAGATGCTGAACATATTTTCTGTCTATACCTGCGTTATCCAGAAGGCCTTCTAGCAAGAAAAAGAAGATATAGTGCATATTTACAAAAGAACAGCAGAGGAGAAAAGGGAGAACTAAGGGAAATTCCAGAAGGGCCCTCTAGATTTGTTCAGGCACACCTAGACTTGCCCTGTATTGGGATTTACCTGTAGCATGTACATTATTAAGAGGCTTTATTATTTTTTTAAATTAATTTTATTTTCCTTTGCAGGTCACCTTTTAAGCTGCTATTTCCTGTATAATTAAGCAGAATGAAGGCATTAGGTTCTAGTAAAGTTGGGCCTAATCCAGAAATCTTCTCTTAYTCAGTCTTTCCTGAGTAAGGAACTCAAGTCTGGGCCCAGCATTTTATGTGTTCTGTTATTATTTCTACATTATTTGTGGTCTGTGAATATTTTGTTTTGTTTTTAACTTTATTGAAAGCTCCTTTGCATTTGTCTAATTGTATCTGTTTGTGTGTTACTATCCAGCATAGCATTAGTTGAAGTGATGTAAGTATCCTTAAAGTACATAATTGCTACTGATCATGCAAGAACAATTGATTCATACTGTTTATAATTAACAGTGTATAATGTTTTGTGCATGGGCTGCATTTATCCCTTTCAACTTTTCCTTTCTGATTCTTTCCGACTCCTGGTCTTGCCACGTCTCAGGCTTTCTGAACATGCTGGTTCACTCGAGTCTAGTCCGTTCTTCCTTTTGTTTTTCAGACCAGTAAAAATGGGAAGTACTGGATTCTGGTTTCCTCCAAGAAGAGTCAGCGGAACTGGTTAAGACCAAAATCTGAGGACTTTAGTGGGCAAACATCAGGTGTGCATTAAACAGAAGCTACTTTAATCCTGCTTTTTAAGTATATGCTTCTTTAAAATGCTATTACATACGAGCTTTTGTATAATGTGCTTGCTATATGTGATATTGCATATAGTCATTCATCCTGCAGTTGTGAAAGCACCAATAAGAATGAGGATTTTAAGTAATAATGTGTTGAGACACAAACAGGCAATATTACTCATAAAATTCTTTCAGCTGGTCTTTGGAAAGTGTAATATTTGAGGATTGGTGTTTTTTTAAGTTTTATCTCCATTGCTCAGTCTATACATCCACAAGAAAAAGAGAGTGGTTATTTGCTATTCAGAGTTAAATACTGTTCTTAATTGCCTCATCTGTTGAGAAATGATGCTGAGATAATAGTGCATACACATTTTTAATAAAACATTGTCAAAGGTTGAATCTACATTATATTTGTTTTAATGGTGCATTTTTAAGGACACTTAAATGCAATTCAAAGTCAGCTTAATTAAATTTCATGATGGAGAAACAAACCTGGAATTCCTTATCCCCATGAATGTTACATTTAATATGAGCGTAGCTTATCTGACGTTTTGGAGAAGATAAAAAGTAACACGATATTGGCCTGAATATAAGATGGCCCCACGCCTGAGGCATGATCCTCATATTTAGAAGAGGCACGAGAAGTTGTCCGAACTCTAGCCGTTACCCCGCTATGCTGTTCCACTGCAGGCATTGCTTTGGCCCCACGCCAGCCCCTGCACCTGACCCCTCCGCACGGCTCGCTGCTTCTCCTGCATCTGCCCGGCTTGATGCCTGCTCCCTTCCTCCTGGCTGCCCCACGGCTCCTGCACTTGCCCCACGCTGCTCTCCTTACATGCTGCTACCCCCTTGCGGAGCTCCCGCTGCTCTTTGGCCCCACGGCTGCATCCTCGTCACCCCCATGGCCGTGGCAGCTCACCCCCAGTCTGTGCCCCCTACCCCGGCCATCAGCTTCGCAAATGTTGCACCTCGCCACCCCTCCTGCTCCCCCTGCTCAGGGCATGTGCGGATTTGCCAGGGAGGCCGGGGAAGCTCTGGATGCAGCGGGTGCTTTCCGACTGACCGAGCCCTGGAGCCCGGGTCCCTTTGGTGCTGGCAGGTCTGGATGCGCCGCACGTGAGCACTGAGTGAGCCGGGATCCTGCTCCCCAAGGCACATTTGTCATGAGAGGATCGTCTAAGGCAACAGCTCATTCTGTATTCAGGCCAATACACGTAGAAGAGCAGTGCRTTAATTTGTGGGAAAGCACAACTAATTCTATTACCAGATTCTGGTTAAAGTGTACATAGAAAATTCTTTCAATCTAMAAATTTCTCACAATTTTTATCTGGATCATATCCTCCTTTTGACTATATATRGGAGCTTCATTGAAGTCTTTGGAATTGGTCTTCAAGTTTCCAAATAGCTATTTAATGAAATAGAAAGTTGCTCAAAAGAGAGGAACTAAAATTAAGCTGATTCTTTGAAGGCTGATGAATGTTCCCCCTGATGGGACTGTTGTCCTTAAGCTTCCTCCCATGAGTTGAAGTGAATCAAAGTGAAAATCATAAGAGTCCTTAAACAAATGTCTTTTCTGATGCTGGGTGTCTGTAAAAAGCTTAGTGGTTTCATATGAAACTTGGGGGGAGGTGATCTTCCAAAAGGTTTGCGATTTAAGAATGTAGCCCAAGCTGCTAGTCAGAGGTTGTAGGTTTGGRAAAGGAGCGGGTTTCCATCTCCATCTGCCAGTTGTCTTTCCTCTTAGCCAGACACAGAGGGCGATGGGGAGGAGGGAGGACGAGGCCCACAGCCACACTCTGTATCCACAGCTCAGGTGGAAACCTCAACCTGAGGCTTTCCAAAAGCACCTGGGCAGGTATGAGAGGCAGCCCCTCGCCCCGCTCCCCGGCCCGCTCTGTCCTGCACACGGAGCCTCCGCAGCCCTGTCCCTTCCCTGCCTCCTGCCGGCCGTGCTGCGGCTCCGGCAGCCCTTGGCGATTCCCGCTGCTCCGCATGGCGCTCCGGGTCCATGTCCGCGGAACCCGGGCACCGAGGGGCAGAGCAGGCAGCGGCACCGAGGCTCGCCAGGCTGCCCGGCCTGCGGGCAGGATCCGCTCTGGTTTTGTGCCATTTTTCCGCAGCGGTGGCGCGAGGCCGAGGCAGCTGCAGCCCTGGTGCTCCCGCCCCACCTGTCCCGACAGCTGCCGGCACTGCCGGGGCTGCAGCTGCCCGGCCTGGCCAGGCCCGGCCCGCACCGCGGTGCCCGCGGCCACACCGAGCAGCCGCGCTGGCCGCGCCGGCAGCTGCCGCAGCCCCCGCGAGCCCAGAGCCCCCCGCCGGGCCGGGCCGGGTGGCCGCCTCGCCAAGGCAGGGCCCAGCCGCCGGGCGCTGAGGCTGCCATCTCCATGGCCCACGGGCCGCCCTCTCCATGGCGCCGCTCATGCGGTGCTCTCTGCTGGTGCTCGGGTGCTCCCAACAAGCTGCCGGGCGGTTTTCCAGCCATGGCAAGTTGTTCAGCACCCCGTAACTACATGTTACAGCTGTGCCTTAGCAGCCGACAGGTTTAGAGCTGTTCTTGCCATCGCATCATCAAATATATAGGAGCACCACGCACCTCCGTTAGCTGAGAGTTTGAGTTCATCGTGCCCCACAGCTGGCTGCCATCATCCCTCTCCCTGTGCCCTTCCCTCCTGCCTCCGTCCCGAGCTGCGCCAAAGGCCACAAGCCTGCTCCTTGCAAGGCAGCGTGAGGAGCACAGCGGGATCCAGGGCTGGGCTGCTGGCCTAAGCTRTGAGATTTCCGTCCTCCCCTGACAGGGATTTAGTAGCGAGAGGTGAAGTTTATAGGGGCCTATATAGGTGAAGTATATAGGAGGGGTTTATAGGGGACAAGGGGGTTCCCTTGTCATYAAAAATTATTGGAAATGTTGGCATTTTATTAGAATACACACATACATATATATACAGTAATCAAAAAGAGCCGGGAAATCTGAGCTGTGCACCCCACAGACAGTCAAAATGTGTATGTGCTGCTTTTCGTGTAGGCTTTAAAACACGCGGTTGTATTTCAGGGCTAAAAACTTTCCATTTTGATAACTGTGTATGTGCATGTGTGTGTGTGTGTGTGTGTGCATGCGTGTGTGTACCACACCACCGGCACAGCATTAATCCCTTTGAAATCAGGAGCTGCCAAAAGCCACCTCCATAGGCTCTGAAGTAAGTTCTGTGTTTGATGGCTCCTGTAGCCTGGCAGAAACATTGCTGTGCTCCATCACTGCCTGAGGGGAACGGTGTGAGGTGTGATTTCAGGGCATATGTGGATCTGTGCATCCTGAGCAATGCGTTTTAAGAGCTGCAGCAAATAGTGTAAAAGAAACCTACAGGTATTACATTAGACCAGCTGAACCTAATTTTATTTTTAAGTTTTATTCAGAAGCATCACATAGCAAGTAAAACTTCAAAATTTAAGTTTAGTTACAAACTAGTTGTTTCTTATTTTTTTTTTCCAGTCCCCTTTTGCTTTCTTTTACGACCACATGAAACTTGAGAAGCCATCTAAAGCTAAATCATTTAGTGGAGTTGGGCAATTCCCAAGTGTCCAACAAGAAGGCCTGGTTTAGGCTGCGATGGCCACTGTCATTCCTGGTGATTTGTCAGAAGTAAGAGATACCCAGAAAGTCCCTTCAGGGAAACGTAAGCGTGGTGAAACCAAACCAAGAAAAAACTTTCCTTGCCAACTGTGTGACAAGGCCTTTAACAGTGTTGAGAAATTAAAGGTTCACTCATACTCTCACACAGGAGAGAGGCCCTACAAGTGCACACAACAAGACTGCACCAAGGCCTTTGTTTCTAAGTACAAATTACTAAGGTATTAAACTCTATTTATCTTTCAGATTATATTATCTATTTTATGTCGGCCGTGTTAAGCCTTGTAAAAGTATATATTTGTGTACGCCTTCAGCTGATTGCAGAGAGGATATGTTAATTAAAGTAGACATGGGATTGTTTCTAGAAGTCTAAATTGCAGTACGTAAGTTTGCAAGCTAATGTCTTTGATTTTGTTTCTTAATTTGTTTTCTGTTTTTGTTTTCTGTTTGTTTTTTTCTGTTCTTTTTTTTAAATGAGAATAGAATTTTCATTTGTATAAGGAATTGTCACAAGAAAAGAGTATGGACTGAAAAATCTTTTGGCTATGGACTTTTGCACAAGTACTTTCATACTTGCCCGTATACCCCGGTTGCAGTAGCTAAAAAACGGCAGAAACTAAAGTGTCAATTTAAGAGAAATGGCTCATGTTTTGTTATATTTTAATTTGTCAAACTGTCTGTGTAGTGTCATGCTTTCAGTTAAAAGGTTCTGTTGCAAAGCAACCTTAGTGTAGTATTTAGCTGCCATTAAAAAATGAACACGTGTGTCTTTTTGATCAAAATAATTACTTACAGAATATATCTGTGTTTAAAGGCATATGGCTACTCATTCTCCTGAGAAAACCCACAAGTGTAATTATTGTGAGAAAATGTTTCACCGAAAAGATCACCTAAAGAATCACCTACATACACACAATCCCAACAAAGAGGCCTTTAAGTGCGAAGAATGTGGAAAGAACTACAATACCAAGCTTGGGTTCAAACGTCACCTGGCCTTGCATGCTGCAACAAGCGGTGACCTCACCTGTAAGGTATGTTTGCAGACTTTTGAAAGCACAGGAGTGCTGCTGGAGCACCTCAAAACTCACGCAGGCAAGTCATCGGGTGGAGTGAAGGAGAAAAAACACCAGTGTGAACACTGTGATCGTCGGTTCTACACCCGAAAGGATGTCCGTAGACACATGGTAGTGCACACTGGAAGAAAGGACTTCCTCTGTCAATACTGTGCACAGAGATTCGGGCGGAAGGATCACCTCACACGCCATATGAAGAAAAGTCACAACCAAGAACTTTTGAAGGTCAAAACAGAGCCAATGGACCTTCTAGATCCCTTTACCTGCAACGTTTCTGTGCCTATTAAGGATGAGCTGCTTCCAGTGATGTCTTTACCTTCCAGTGAACTGACATCAAAGCCATTTACAAACACTTTGCAATTAAATCTCTACAATACTCAGATTCAGTCCATGCAGAGTTCTGCATCTGCACACCAAATGGTCGCCACATCRTTGCCATTGGGAATGCCTTGTCCAATAGATATGGAATCTGTCCACCCTTCTCACCAGCTATCTTTGAAATATCCGCTCAGTTCTACCTCATACGCAATTTCTATGCCTGAAAAAGAACAGCCATTAAAAGGGGAAATTGAAAGTTACTTAATGGAGTTGCAAAGTGGTATGCCTTCTTCATCCCAGGATTCTCAAGCGTCTTCATCAAAACTAGGGCTGGATCCACAAGTAGGGCCACTAGATGATGGGGCTGGGGAGGTTTCCCTTTCCAAGAGCTCCGCTTCTATTAGCGAACCTCTAAGCACCCCGTCATTGGACTTTTCTCAGCTCTTCAACTTCATACCTGTAAATGGCCCTCCCTATAATCCTTCTGTTTCAGTGGGAAACCTTGGAATGAGTTACACGCAAGAGGAGGCCCATTCTTCTATGACTCAACTTCCACCACAAACACCGGATCCACAAGATCCTAGCAATAGTATAGGTCTTGGGTCCCTGCACTCGTTGTCAGCAGCTTTCACAAGCAGTCTAAGCACAACCACCACCCTACCACGATTCCACCAAGCTTTCCAGTAGGATGTACAAAGCTGGCTTATTACTGTCGATTTGTAGAAATGCCTTAGGTGACCATTTTTAACTTAGTGCCTACGATAAGACATTATCAGTTCTCTGCTTTTGTACAGTACCGATCTCATGAAGCCAGTAAGAAATTTAAATTAACTTTTTAAAAAATGTTTTGAAAGTGTTTATTCTCAACTGTTTACTTTGTTTTCTAAAAAGAAAGTCTCATTGTATTGTTTGCGTTTTCACTGCCAATTGACACACATAAAATATTCAATAGAAAGTCATCCCTACCAAACTTCTTACACCCATACTTTAAAAAAAAAAAAAAGRTTTTCAACTGTATCAGTCATTCTGTTTTACTGATTTCAGTGATAGAACTACCATTTTTACCTTCTATGTATTTTAGTATTTGCAAATAATCCAGTTAAAACATATATCACACAGGTTCCTGAAGACTTGGGGAAAAAAATCCCCTAGCCCCTTTCCAAACCAGAAAACCCTTCCCTAGTGGCAACTGATCTGTCTGATCTGTTCTATTATGACAAATCTAAATTTTTTAAATAGATATATAAATCAGATTTTTCTGAAGACTTGTGTGTGTATATATAGAAGTCCATATATACACATGTGCTTATATATAACATTTGACTCGTATTGAAGTCATTATAAAAGGTAATTTGGCCATTTTCTGGCTTAAATTGTTGTGGCCTGGTAGAAATACTGAAAGAAAAGAAATTTTATTTTAATTTTCTAAAACCACAATTTAACAGAATTTGAGAGAATCTCTGCTTGCTAAATGACAAATGTTTCCAGTTGAAATTGGAACTGTGTTGTGCTTTCAAGACTCTGGTAGAGGGAAACAGGCAAAAAAAAAAAAAAAAAAATGATGGCTGATCTCGAAGTATAAAAATGTTGTAAGTTAGTAATGCAGAATATTTTGTCGCAGTTTTTGTTTTGATTCTTAACTTGCTTTTTTTTTTCTGTTTAGTAGCATAGAAAGAGTACTGCATAGGAATCTTCCGGTAGTGTATTCACCTCTGTAGGCATCAGTCTTCTCCCAGCTGCCACCACCAAAGGGTGGATCAGGTCCAGCCAGGAAGTGTTTATCTCTTGTCCGTTCAGTACGAGTGGCAGTCACAGAGTGAATGTAAACTTGCAAATACCGTTTTTTTTTTTTTTTTTTTTAATGGAAATGCTCTTTTCAGTTGTGTTTCATGGTGTGTTATGTCCTCCTAAGCAACAAGTTAGATGTTAATCACGCTTTCTACACCTGGGTACTTGGTTAGGGACGTTTCGCCCGTTGCCAAGATTTAAAGACAGGACTCTTAGGAGTGAAGTAAAAGCATATTGCTTACACCACTTTTACCTAATACAATATAGTGTATTCCCCAACCCCTTGTAACCAAAAGAGGAAAAAAACAAACAAAAAAACTGTGTTGCGTGAAAGCAAACTAGATTTGCTGCGATTCAATACTGACAGTCTTTTCCTTGTCATTTTTGTACAAGGAATTAAAAAATAGAAACTGAGTACATTAGTATCTCTCAAACAATAACGAGGATTCATATAAGGTTTTAAGTGGTTAAACTAAGTATATACTTCACAGAAACAAAAGTTGCTCCCATTTAAGGAGCTTATGCTCCAGATGTTTTATCAGTAGCTCCTACTTCTTCTTTTTTTTTTTTTTTTTTTTTTTTTAATTCTAGGAGCAATATGCAGGTGTAGTTTTACTATTTTATACATATGTGTATTTAAATTTTATTACTGAAAGATAACATTTTTATAAATGTGTTTGTGTTCCAAAGGCATTAAAATAAGGATTTATTAATAAGGAAGATACCTTTTCAAATTCTGCAAACTCCTCCTAGATTTTGGGCTTAGGAGCGTATTATCTCAGAGTGGGCTTTTAGCTCTGCTTCAGGACTGCTTCCTCTGGTTTCTATGAAACAGATCGCTTGCTTGCTTACATCTTTAGTTGAATGATTTGTTCAATATTGCTTTTTTCTTTTTTTTTTAAAATTTTCTCGTCACCTTTCTAAAGGAGAGAAAAAAACGCAGACAAGCAAACAGAGCACAAGGCAAATAGAATGTAATTCTGGTTTCAGTGGGCAGCCACAAGTGCACACAGGAGGCACGCGGCGTTTGCTCGCGGGCCCTTGCGTCAGGTGGAGATGGCGGTGAAGGGACTCGGCACCCCCGGAGGGACGTGTCCCCGGTGGGACTGAGCACCCGCGAGGGCCCCGCTGCCCCCCGCTCTGCCCGCGGCGCCCACGCTGCCGCGCCGGGGAGGCCGTCGCGGCCTTGGTGGACAGGGCCCTTGGCCGGGCGCCGTGCGTGGCCGTGTCCCRAATTTCAGACCTCCGGGGAGTTTCCGCCCCGGCGCGGATGAAGTTTCCCCTTAGTTTAGTTCAGTCTTGGCTGCCGCTGCCAGCGCAGGGTGTCTGGGGGGACCGRCGGGGATTTGGGGGATGTGCCGGGTGCGTCTGGCGCTGAGCGCGCGGCCCTGCCGTCCGCGATGCCCGATGAAACCAGGCGAGCGACGCTCGGCCAACACCCGCTTCCCAGCGCATAGCCGGGAGCTCTCCTGCTTTCCTAGTGCCTTAGCTTCCTGAGAAGGGACTGACATTTCACTTCGGAGTGGGACAGACATTTCACTTGAGAAACAGGGACCTCAGACAAGATATTGAACCTCATTCAGCCAGGGCTGCGGCGGAGGCCGCCGCGCTGGGCCCTGGGGTTGCGTGGAAGCGGATTGACACTGTAAGCAATACGAACACTTTGGGTGGTGCTTTCGCATGCACGCAGGCAAAGGCGCTGTTGGCCACTACTAAAATGCCATTTAAAAAAAAAAAAAAAAAAACATTTTCTAGATTTCAGATTGCCTCATGGAGGGAGGGGGGAGGGCTGGCTGATCATGCACCACTCTTTGTGCAACTTCTAAACTTCGAGTAAACTTTTTTTTTTTGGTTTTGTTTTGTTTTGTTTTTAATATATATATTTTTGTGTACTTGTTGCTTGTGCTTTATTTAGTAGTAAATTGTGGAATAGAGTGATTTATTGTTAATTTGGCAGTAGCGGTTTTTAAAAACCATATACTGACTGAAACATGAGCCAGAGCTGATTGCTTTATTAAGCTAATAATGAATGTTAAGAGTACATATTTTCAGGATCATTTGCCTAGTGAGCTAAACATGTATTATAGGCCAATATTTTTTAAAATAAAGCTTGGTCAACCTCTATGTTACACATATTACAAGATATAGCACTTTCAAAAAGAAAACCTAAACCTTTTAAGAAAATTTCTTACAGGTTATGCTTTTTATTATAAAACCTTTTATTATAATTTGTTTCAAGTGCCATTAGATTACATATATGTAGGCCTTTGGTATAATGCTTTGTGTACAAAATGGTAGACATTGTAATTTTAAACAGGTACATTTTTACAGTGTTTTCTTATCAATTTGCTATATTGCACAGAACCAGTGTGTCTTTCTTAAGGGTTTTACAATGGTTTTTACTAGGTTTACATGTTTCAAACTACACTGTCTTCTACTGCCATTTGAATACCAGTCAAAAAAATGAGAGCCAGGAGCCCATCCTCGCCCGTTGTAAACTGTGTCTTCTGGAGTTTCGCATKATAAACCACCACAGAAATATTTAACATGCAGGATCCGAAATAGATTTTTGTTTTAATCCGATCCTCTCATTGCTCTGCTGCTGTCTGAAGTTAACTTAGGGCCCGATCCTGCGCCCATAAGGTCACGGGGAGCAGGATTGCATCCTTGGTTATGTCTGTCTCATACACTGGTTTAGCAGCTCCCCCCCGTATTCTCCTCAGCCCCTCAGAAATACATGTCCTTATCTGCCATGAAGTAAATCGCATAGACCTAGCTGCCCGTCCAGCATCCTCCCAGTGCACAGGGACAACCACAGCCTACCTAGCGTTGCACCCAGCACAGAACCGTCGCCCCCCCTATAATTCAAAACGTGTTTGGAGAGTCCCAAAGTTTTTGTATGTAGTAAGGGTGTCTTATTTTGTTGGAAGGCAGTGTCTTTTGATAACAGTTATCTAGCCCTGGAAGTGACACAGAACTCTTGCTAATCATATGTAAACACTTTTCAGTATAAGCTTCAGTGGTACAGTTGAACCAGAGTGAATGTTTATCTCCTCAGAAACACTCCTGCAATATTGTTATATTGGATCATGCTGCTAATGTAACTTGGGATAAAACTCCTCTCATGGTGCTACAAACCTCCCTGTCTCATTCAGATGTGTTTTTACCCATAGAAAGAAAAAAGGACTATACTAGACCTATAGTTGTATGATATATTTTTATACTGTGACTTAATTTGTCATTAATGAACTTTGTACAACACCACAATGTATTCATATGCACTTGCAAAAGTAAAATTTTGGACATGCAAATTTAAACGCTGACAGCCCAGCTCTTGTTCACAAAAGTAGAAGATGACTGTTAGTTAAAATAAAATGTGGGCTTTTTATATGGTGTGAAGTGAAGAACATGCTATATGTTACTAAAGCCTCTGACTTTAGGTAAAAACTGGGAAAGTACATGGGGAATGATGACGCACCCAAACCCGACTCGAATTGCTGAAATTATATTTTTAGCTAGTGAAAAAAATTGTTTGGACTTGTATGCTAAAATGTTTTAATGATAAAAGTTTTGAGACAAAAATAGAGAAGAAATGAACACAGAAAACCCTGCATTCCAGACCGAATTTGTATATGTTTCTTGCATTTAAAATTTGCTATCCTGTGATATGGGAAATCGAGTTGCTTATCATGTATATGTACTTTAAAATGTATTCACAAACTACTGTTGTATTTGTATAAAATATAGACAAAAAGATTGCATATATATTTTTGTGTATAAGCTCTGTAAAATAGCAATCACATTATGAAGCTGCAGCAGAACTTCATTTTAAACATTCACATCCAAAGAAACAGACTATTTATTGTCCACATACCCTGATTATAAAATATACCTTGCTGCTATTAAACAATAGTGCTGCAGCTTCTTGTGGCCTACAGTGTTATGTTTGCTGTACAAAAATATGTGAACTCCACAAAATATATCAATAAAAATACAGAATGGTTTTAGTTAATGAATAAYGTA